TTCTTTTGTACAGCACTTTGGTTGGCCTTGTTGCTGTTTTAAGTGCTCTATAAATAAATTGGTATGGTATGGTATATAAAAAAGCACTAAGTGGATAAATAAAATTTGAAAGAACATCTATATAGAATATCTACCCATCCATCCATTTTTTTATTTTATAGATAATTGGATACAAAATACAGTAAACCTTTTGTCCACCCCTCAGCAGTGAAATTTCATAATGCTGAAACAACAGAATTTAAAAAATACAAAGTCAAACCACAAAAGCTGTTTTCTCTCTGAGAAACAGCAGAATGCAAACAAGGGAATGGGAACACGCATATTGCACATGTAAAAACAGATGTCTGAAACTGATCTCAGTTTATCATAAACAAACATTTGCACATTCTTGAAAATTTGCACATTCTGGATTATATTCTGCGCAGCATGGATATAGCCCTTTCTGGTGCCACACAATACAGTGATTTTATCATGTACAAATTTAATGAATTCTGCAAAAGGTTAAAATGACCTTTATTCAAACCATACACAAGCAATGTTATTATTATTATTACTAATGTTAATACAACATTACCACACAACCTCTTCTATTTGTCTATCTAAACTCTGATGGCCCAAGGGAGAAGTGACCAGCGATAACGTTCCTTGTGGCATCTGGGGTGCAGAGGTCTGCCACTGAATGAGCTCTCTAGGGATGTTGCAGTGTCATGCACAGGCTGTTGAGGCAGTGTCCAGTATACATGTTTTTCTGACCACGCACTGGATCAATGAGGAATCCTAGGACAGAGGAGGCCTTTCTGATCAGTGTACAGTATTCCATCTTTTCCTCTCAGTCATGTACAAGCTGCTTATCCAGCAGGTTAATTATTATAAAATGGCCACAATGAAGCCAAAAAAGGTCTTCAGGTGTGTACCCTGCAATGTAAACGACTCTAGGCTCCTCAGCAGTAGTCTGCTCTGACCTTTCCTGCAAACTGCAGCAGTTATGAGTCTAGTTTAGATTATTGTTCAAGTAACCAACCAGGTACTAGGAAATAATGAAATAGATTTAATGATAACAGTACTTTTTTTTTCAAATTTGATTTATTTGAAAAACTGTTTCTTTCAATACACACATAGAAATGTATTTTTGTACCCAAAGGTACAATATTATGTAATAAGCTCAATGAAGTAGAGAAACAGACTCTTTCCACATATTTTCCAGCTGGTTTCAGGCTACTGTCAGTATTTTTTCCACTGTTAGTCTCTGCTCCTCTGTCTTACCACGCCTGGGTTTATGTTGTATTTATTTCAAGCTCCTTGAGTCAGTCTGCTTCCCTGGGTCCAACCTCCCACAACTGTGATATTAATATCTTGAAATATTTTAACAACATTTGTCTAATTTAAAAGTTTTCTCAGGTATCTAATTTGTTGTTTTATTATTTATTGTATAAGTCAAAAAAA